TTTATCCACTGGATAGTGATTTATTACTGGATAGCGTTATCCAGCTTTTGAACAACTGGGGCCTGGTAGTCGAGTCCAACTGCAGGTAAGATTTTGTCGGACATGAACATGTTTTTTGGCACATGGTCTGATGACTAACTGTTATTTGCAGCTCTGAATGTTGTCAACACTTGTCATATATAATATAGAACCTTTTTTCTTGTAGAGGAGGAAACTAAAAAAGGTAGTTTAATAGCAGGCTTCTTAAAAGCAGATTATTTACAGAGGGGAGTGGCAGGGTTCTCCAGAAGCTCTGGCAACCAGTTAAAGTCGCTGACTAGTTGATATAGATCAGGCGCCGGTTGCTAACAGAAAATAGAGTGAATAATTTTTTTGTTAGCTAAGTGGGACAATAAATCCATCATATTTCACTTTACTTTGGTTACTAATACTTTTGTTAGGTTGATGCGAAATGTGGAATAATAAATGTGTCATCATCACGACTTCAATTTCTTTCCCTGGTCGCTCAAAATGTGCTGAAATGCACTTTTTAGAAACCCACAGATAAGAGTTTTCCCAAGGAGAGGTCCCTGGACTTCCCCCCTACACATAGTTCTACTATGTGCGAGATGCGCCTTTCAATCTGATCAGTTGCCGCCTAGTTTATGTTTTTCTCTTTCTAATTCTGGGGAACCCTGGAGTGGCCACATAGTCAATGAAAAGAGCAATCTATAACTTACATTATCGTTTAGTAAGACAAATGTATTTTATTGACAGGTCAGCAGGTTAGAGGACCTTCTAGCAAGTAAAACGACTGCTCTTCAGCAAATGGTACAGCCTTGTTTCATTATTTCTTTAATTCACTCTGTTGTTTACTATTGGTAGTTCANATTTTGTTTTCCTGTTTATTCAGATATCCCAACTAGTAAGTGATGTGCAGCAGTTACAAGTGATGCAGAGCAGATTAAAAGAATCTGGAGCAAGTGAGGTAGAGTGCAAGCTCTGTATGTCTTTTATGATCTGGGGGCGGGGATGGTGAAGAAACTGCTTGCTCTTTTGAATAACCTCTCCTACTCCATCCCACAAGCTCAAGGCTAAGATGCTTGTTGGTTACTATTGTGTCCATGGATACATATCATAGCCTGACTGAGCTGTCCTATTCTAAATTGTAATTTCTCATCTTGAAATAATATTAGAGCTACAAATGTGCAGATCAAGTTGCCATTATATTGAATTTCAGACAATTCAGAAACATTGTTGCTCATACATTTCATCAAATTTTTATAAATTATTATTTTAAATGCTATGCATATGTTCAGCCAGCTTCAAAATGTTACTTACTGGCATTATTTTGATCTGTCTGGTCCCAGTTTTTCAAAAGGTAGATAACGCTATCCACCAGATAAATCTCAATCCATTGGATAATGCAATTGGTTTCCGTAATATTTATCCACTGGATAGTGATTTATTACTGGATAGCGTTATCCAGCTTTTGAACAACTGGGGCCTGGTAGTCGAGTCCAACTGCAGGTAAGATTTTGTCGGACATGAACATGTTTTTTGGCACATGGTCTGATGACTAACTGTTATTTGCAGCTCTGAATGTTGTCAACACTTGTCATATATAATATAGAACCTTTTTTCTTGTAGAGGAGGAAACTAAAAAAGGTAGTTTAATAGCAGGCTTCTTAAAAGCAGATTATTTACAGAGGGGAGTGGCAGGGTTCTCCAGAAGCTCTGGCAACCAGTTAAAGTCGCTGACTAGTTGATATAGATCAGGCGCCGGTTGCTAACAGAAAATAGAGTGAATAATTTTTTTGTTAGCTAAGTGGGACAATAAATCCATCATATTTCACTTTACTTTGGTTACCAATACTTTTGTTAGGTTGATGCGAAATGTGGAATAATAAATGTGTCATCATCACGACTTCAATTTCTTTCCCTGGTCGCTCAAAATGTGCTGAAATGCACTTTTTAGAAACCCACAGATAAGAGTTTTCCCAAGGAGAGGTCCCTGGACTTCCCCCCTACACATAGTTCTACTATGTGCGAGATGCGCCTTTCAATCTGATCAGTTGCCGCCTAGTTTATGTTTTTCTCTTTCTAATTCTGGGGAACCCTGGAGTGGCCACATAGTCAATGAAAAGAGCAATCTATAACTTACATTATCGTTTAGTAAGACAAATGTATTTTATTGACAGGTCAGCAGGTTAGAGGACCTTCTAGCAAGTAAAACGACTGCTCTTCAGCAAATGGTACAGCCTTGTTTCATTATTTCTTTAATTCACTCTGTTGTTTACTATTGGTAGTTCACGTAATTTTATTGTAAAGAAGGTTGTCAGTTTTCCAGTCTCACTATTTCACGTAATTTAATGAATGAGCAACTGCATATTTCCTGATATCTTTCAAGTTTTGGTTTGGAAACGAAAGGTAACTCTTTGCTTAAAATATTTTTGTGTATTTTTTCTAGTATAAATCCGTTGACTTTTTTTACCTTTTTATTCTCTTCAGGAGACGAAGCTTGACGGTCAGAGTGACTATGAAGAAATCAAAAGAGAGCTAAGGTTAAGTTTGCTCTTGAAAGTAACTTTCTGGTAGCGTTTTGTATCCTTGTGAAGTGACGTTTTGAACATTGCTGCGATTTACTTGACAAAAATGAAGGGCATCTGTCATAGGATGGCCTTGACCGCAGCCCACCAGCTTATATGTATGCCTTGTTATTAATAAATCGGTGGTAGGACTTCAACCCCAGTTGATTGCAGTCGTCTGTTCAGAGTCCTAAGCTGGTGGACGGCAAACGTCAGATTCAAGTTGAGAATTTTTCACAATAGAAAGTAAGCAAATAAAAACAGCTCAAAACAATTCTTTTTGATAAAACTGGTGTGAAACTAGTAACTTTTTAGTAGACGTAATGAACAGTAAAGGACAAGTAAAGGGAAAACTTTGTCACGTGGTACAAATTGCCGTAAACGTGGCATCTAAATCTCTGCAATGTTTTCCCGTGTACAAACTTATCCATTTACCAAAATGTTATACGTTTCGCTAGTATTGTTCCAGTGTGGAGGAAAGCGGTAGACGCGTAGCCTGCGTGGCAGATGTCTAAAGAAATAGGGAAGGGAAGGAAGAGGAAATTAAAGAGAATTAGCGTTTTCAACCCATTTTCCTTCTTTTTTGCGCCTCCCATGTAGGTTATATAGTAAATGAGCAGACGGAGCCTTAAGGTAGCCGACAGCACCTACAACTATCATCAAAGTATAAGCCATAGTTAACTATGTATAAGCCCAACGCTACGCGTATGTTCTTTGGCAGAAGTGATCGTCTCAATTTTCTGCTACATTGTATTTCGTAACGTTGCAGTTCTTACTGTATACCGTGTAACTCTTTCAATTCTAATAGTGGCCACAGAAAAATTAAGATTCCTTTCTTTTTTAAATCCTAAGAAATAATGAATACTATGCAATAGTTCTGCCAAAGAGGAGTCATTTGAATAGTAACACCACTGGATTTCAAAAAACATTCTCGACAGAACTTGGTCGAGGTGTGAGAGAGTGAAGACCTAAGAAATATGCGTTTCATTCGATCGCTTCGTTTTTTATTCTTATCTGTTGTTTATGTAATTGTTGCAGTATTCTGAAGTCAGTCGAGTTTTCCACGAGTGAGGGTGAAAGTGGGGAAGGAAGAGTGGTATGTTTGAATAATTGTGTAAATAACTCCTTACACGGTTGAGGAGGCACATTTTGTGTTCATTATACATAATCTGCACTCTTCATCATCATCATCATCATCATCATCAATTTTATTTATACACGAAATCGTATCATTTTTACATGGTCTTCCTAGGAATCGTGTGTAAAATTAGACTAAAATACTCTAAGGAACTACTTGACTGTAAAGTTAAAAAATAACACAAAAACTTATATTATATTAAGAGTTACATTAGGGCCATTTATACGAGGAAAAATAAGACGCGTCTTAAATAAGACGCGAACTGTACCATTTATACGAACATGTCTTATCTAAGACGAAAACAGCTCGTATAAATGGTTCGGGTCTTATTCTGTTCTTGACTCGTTTTCATGTGAGTGTTGCCCGTAGCAACGGCAACCAACATGGCGCGAAAATTTTCCCGCCAAAAATTAACGCATGCCTACTATGCGTTCGCGTCTTATGTAAGACGCGAAGGTCATTTATACGAAGTTTTTCTCGTCTTAGCTAAGTCGCGTCTTATTTTAGGCGAAATGTGCCGTTTGTGCGGAAAGTTCGCGTCTTATGTAAGACGCGTCTTATTTTTCCTCGTATAAATGGCCCTAATGAGTCATGGTGTATTAAGATAATCTTTCCCATCAAATGAAGTTTTAAAAACATTTAAACTAGGCACTCCTCCATGTCACCATAAAAAAGTTAAACTTCTCTATGTTTTCGTAGAGCATTTATAAACATAAGCATAGTTTATATACTTTGGAGAGTAAGGTATACTATTTGCAGGTTGGTTATGCAATAAAAACAAACTGGAGGCCTTTGGAAATAGCAGTCAAGTAATCAACCTAAGAAGTCACGCTTGTATAGAATATTATATGTGAGATGTTTTGCGTGGCTTTTTGTCTCAAGTGGAACTAATCTGCTCTTACTACTCAGTGTAACCTAGGCTCCGCAGTACGGGAAAAAGGCAAAAAAACGGAGAAAAACAGGAAAAAATAATCGGCGGACAGTCGCTCGCCATTTTTTTAGCTCTCGCCGATTTTGTTATTATTTTTGCTTGCCTTTTTCTCCCACTGCAGAGCCTTGTCCCAGGCTACCTATGATGTGTTATCCAGAATGATTATTACGATGTTTGTAGCTGATTCTTTGATTTGTGTTTTAGGAATCAACTCCTAAGTCTCTGGAGATGCTTCTTCTTGATAAGAACAAAAGTGAGTCTGATGTGTGGCGCAAAATTGTCATAAACAATCCAAGTGTGATTTTGAAGGTTTTCACTCGTAAGTGACATTTACTGTAAATGTGCTTTTTCAACTCTTCCAGGGCTTCAATCTGAGAATACAAGTCTTAAAGTGGAGAATGTCGACTTGACAGGTAATATTTCACTTAGGAAAGATGTGCTGTTATACCTTCACGTCGCTGGTCATTGTTTAAGGCAGCCAAACAAAATTGCTTAGAAACTTATGTTATGGCAATTATCTGTAGGAAGGGTTAGCAGGGGAAGACAGCCAATTGACTCATATATCGACAACATCAAAAGTGACACCAGTCTTGACATCATCAGCGAAATTCGGTCAGCAATGCTGGATAGAAATGTGTGGAAAGATTTTGTCATGAAGGTTCGATCGAGAGATCGGCCTACGTAATTAAGTAAGTTTTGAATAGCCTCTCATACTGTCCCTGTTTTGTGTTTATATCTTTAGGACGTTATTCTGATCTACAAGTTCAGTACAACGAGGCTGTTAACACCGTAAAGGAACAGAAGGAGCTTATCACTCAACTAGAGACAGACCTATTGAGTGTAAACGCACTACCCTCTGCATTCCGTGGCCAGGGGGAGGTCAGAATTGTTGTTTTCTAAGTGTTTAAAATGAAGTCGAAAGTAATGACCATTACATGTGTTGAAATTTGATAAAAGAGCGGCGACAGTTTAGTTGCAATTTGTTTAGCTACTTTTATCTCAAAATTCATGATTGGTGTAGAAGTGAGAAGATCTGAAGTAAAGATGTCAATTGAATTACGTGAACACGCTGGCTGTAAAGTGAACCAGGAATTCAAGTACTGTCTCATCCCTTTCATTTCAGCTAACGTTTGACGTTCTTTGTGTTACGGTATCGTCAGTGGTTTGAATAGGCCACTTCCGAGTTCCAAACACCTTCACTCTCAAAATGAGTCCAAGTGCACAACCTTTCTCGTGGAAATGAGTTTATTTGCATGAGATTGAAAATCATTTCCATATCAAAGGCTGAGAACTTAACCCCGTTTTGACACACAAGCCCGGGGAACTCGGAAATGGCCCATTCGGTCGACACAGGAAGACGTTCAGAAACGATGTTGAAATGAACGATGCTTTAGCGCTGAACAAATTGCAAATTTGCTGTCGGGAGATGGCACCAAGATCAAAAGTAGGGACAACAAAAGTGACCAAGTTTGAGGTCAACATGGTTGGATAATAGCCATCAAGTTCTGGTTTAGTCCCACGGTCCAACCATCTTGACCGAAGAGCTTGGTCAACAGCGCATATTATTATACTCGTATGACCAGATGATTACATCTTTTACGGGGACAAATAAGCAACCCCGAGGAACAGCCCAGAAGAAAGGCCTCTGTGCCCGCTAGCGTAGCCACCTAGAATACAGGTCAGCCAGAGATTCTGCAATTTGTAATAATTCGTTTACTTTAATTTAGTTCATTGTAATTATATGTTTTTGGTCAGGGTGAGGCCGGACCTCCTTCAGAGAAAGAACTTGTAACAAACGCTGTACAGCAAGCCGTGGGCGCACCGACAGGTACTGACGGTCTGAATAATAATTTTTAGGGTGTCTCGTCTCTCTACTAATCCCTTAATAAAAATGTCCATTTGATATCTCTTCTGTTGTTGTAGTTGGTTTTACAGGAGAGAATGTGGCAACGGAATCTCTTCTTCCCATCGTGGCGAGCCAGAGAGAGAGATTTAAAGTCAGGAACATGGAGCTTGAAGCAGTAAGTTATTCCCTTTACCACTCTTCAGTTAAATAGTTTGCTTGTTTGTTTTTGTCTTGTTGACATGTTATATTTTAAATGACTGAGAATTCACAGAAGACCGTGAATTGTAAGTAGAAGCCAATGACTGGCCCTTGTGGTCAACAATATAATACAGAAGCCCGAGGGACGGAAAAGTGCAAAAACAGCTCGTTGATCATTTTCGTTTTGTTTGTTTTGCTTGAGTTTGATCGGAGAAAGTACGGTAGTTTTGTGGTATGCCAGAATTTAAAGTTACCAAATGACTTCAAAGAAGAGTTTCAAACGATGATCAACGGTACTAGCATCCAGACGCAAAAAAGCGCAGGAAAGTAGCGGGCTAGTCGGCAAACTGCTTGCTTTTTGGAAGAGTCAGGTTATTGTTGACAAGCGCGGGAAATCAAAAGCGAGCAACGTTGACAAAAGCGGGAAAGAATCGGTTCGAGATGTTTTGGTCTTCCTTGATAAAAGAAAACCGCTCCTGAGATATTTCAAACATTGTATCGGTACTGTAAAACACTTTTTTAAAACTATTGTACCCTCTGTTCTTTCTTATAGCAACTGCGTCATAACCAGCAACAGATTAGTGTCTTACAAAATGAAGTGGACACCCTACGCTCTGACAACGTGAAATTGTACGAGAAAATCAAGTTTCTCCAGAGCTACCCGTCAAAGGTAATCTTCTT